TGGTGTCGAGTGCTGGGCAGCGCCAGTGTGGGAGATGGGAGATGCGGGGCCTGAGAGGCCGGGGGTGGCCGTGGCTCAGTCCTGTGCCAAGGGGGAGCGAGAGAGGAGGAGAAGCGTGCTGGAGACTGACAGGATGGGCTCTGGACGCCACAGAAGGCTCCTGAGCTCCACTTGCTGGGAAGGGCTGGAGCGGCATCACATGCGGAGGCCTGGCGGCCACAGGGGGACAGAGTGAGGAGGCAGAAGCAGGGACATGGTGGGCAGCGGCGCCGTGCTCACCCAGCTGTTCCCACATCCGAGCAGATGGCCGAGCAAGCGGGGTTCCTGAGAGGATGGGATTGGAAGGACGGCCTGGAGGTGGGGAGCAGAATGCCCCCCGAAGGAGGCCCAGCAGGGACACCAGTGTCCAGGGGCGCCTTTGAAGACCTCACGGATGTGCTTTTCTAAGAGTCTGTTTTAAGCATCTGGTGGACCCAGAGCTTGTGGTGGTGGCCGTGGTGGCAACCGTGTGACAGCCATGGTGGTGGTGGCCGTGGTGGCCAGGGAAAGCAGGCTCTACAGCTGGTACACTAGTCAAGGGGAGGAGGCTTGGTGTGGCCTCCAGGCAGCCGTGTCCACTGTTAACTGCCAGTGACACAGGCACACACATTCATTCATTCCACTGAGACTGTTTGCTGCTGAATGTGATGCTGGGGCTTCCGGGCTCCTTGCTGTCAGGATCGGGGCGCGGCAGGAGCTGCAGGGGCAGGAGCGCGTTTGCCAGGGAGACGGAAGAGCGTGGCTCAGCAGCCAGCTGCGCAGCGTTAGCCAGGCCCAGGTCCAGCTGCTGGGCACATTTGTGGATGAACCGGAAGACGGGCAGCCCCCCACCCCCACCCCCACCCCACCCCCTTCATTCTGCTCCTCAGCACGGGGCCAGTGTTGTGGCACAGCAGGTTGAGCTACTGCCTAGGATGCCAGCATCCCATATGAGTACCAGTTCAAGTCCCGACTGCTCCACTTTTTCTTTTTTTAAATTTATTTTTATATATTTTGAGAGTTAGTGTTACAGAAATAGAGGGGAGGGGAGAGAGAAATCTTCCAGCACTGGGCCTGTTGGAAGCCAGGAGCCAGGAGCTTCATCCAAGTCTCTCCTGTGGGTGATAGGGGCCCAAACACCTGGGCCATCCTCCATTGCTATGACTGCTCCACTTCTAAACCAGCTTCCTGCTAATGTGCCTGGGAAAAGCAGTGGGAGATGGCCCAAGTACCGGGGCTCCTGAAACCCACTGGGAGATCTGTATGGAGTTCTAGGCTTCTGGCTTCAGCCTGGCCCAGCTCTGGCCTTTGCATTTTGGGAAGTGAACCAGCAGCTGAAGGATAGCTCTCTCTCCCTCCCTCCCCTCTCCTTTTGTCTCTTCCTTTACATATATAGCTCTGCCTTTCAAATAAATAATATAAATCTTTTTTAAAGAAAGAAAAATAGAATTAAAAGATGTTTATTTTGGTGCCAAAAAAAAAAAAAAAACCAGTTGAAATCCATGCATAGTTTTTCCATGTTACACATATTCCACAAACTTTTTTTAAGGAGCCCTGGAATAGCCTTTGTTCACATTCAGCTACTGTTAATATTTTATCCCATTTTTTATCTGAATTATTTGACAGTAAGGTGTCTACATCGTAGCTCTTTATTCCCAAACACTCCAGTGTCTGTTTCCTAAGAACGGGATCTGTCTCAGAACCACAGTGGCATCAGCACCCTCAGGGAATTTCACCTTGAATCGGTTTGCTACTCTGTTCTGATTTAACGTGGTGTTTATTTCTCATTGTGGTGCCCTAGCACATTCCAAGGCCTAGCACAATGTAAAGTTGCTTTTAATGTGACAAGAAAAGCAGCAGGGGTAATGTCACCTTGGCCACTCCACTTGTTCCTGGTTTGCTCACTAGTGTTTGAGTTCTTTGGTGTTGACCCCAGGCTGCCGCCAGTTCTGTCCAGGTTTAAACACAGACTCGCAGGGACGGCGTGTGGTCCCCAGCCCGTCCCTGAGTGCCCCCTTCGCCTCACTGGACCCCCTCCGCAGCTCAGGTCCCGGAGCTGAGATGCAGGCTGCCGCAAGCATAGCACATACCATTTGTGTGTGAAGGAGGCTGTGGTCATCAGTCATGTTAAATCTCTGAAGGAAATGGTCACTTCCCGAGGACGCCCGTATTCCCTCCATGGCTCTCGCTGAAATGCAGGTTCCACGCCAGGCGAGAGCCTAGGCCCAGGCTGCAGACCAGGGCTGCCTTTCCGAACCGTCCCCCTTCCTGCCAGGATGAGTGGCGCTGGAATGCAGGAATCTTCCCCTTGCAGATCCGGCAGCACAAGCCCGGTGCTGTCGGCCTGGTGGTGGTCTCCCCAGCCTTGTGACTGTTGATTAAGTGAAGCTTTTCAGTACTTAGCAATCACAAAACCCAAATTTGAAGAAAAGCTGGAAGCCCATTAAAGAGTATTAATTATTTTCGTATTTTCCTGAATATCACCCCAGGAAAAGCTATGGTTCCCCTGTACACCCAGCAGTATCAACTGGATTAAATTCCATAATAGACTCAGTAATTGGATTAATTTCCATGATAGAAGTGAATGCTTTCATAAACAGGGTATCTTAGTCCATTTTGTGCTGCTATAATAATATCTGACACTGGGTAATTTTTTAAAAAAGGTTTATTTCTTTATTTATGTGAAAGGCAGAGTGAGAGAGAGAGAGCGCGCGTGCGAGCTTTCATCCACTGGTTCATGCCTCAAATGCCTATAACAACCGGGGCTGGGCCACACCAAAACCAGGAACCTGGAACTCCAGCTGGGTCTCCCGTGTGCATGGCAAGGATCCAAGTCCTTGGCCCATCATCTGCTACCTCCCAGGCGCATTAGCAGGAAGCTGGAGTGGAAGTGAGGAGTAGCCAGTACTCAAACCTGCACTGCAGTGCGGGACATAGGTGTTCCCAGTAGAGGCGTAACCCGCTGCACCACAATGCCCACCTCCAGGCAGTTTATAAAGAACAGACTTATTTCTTACACTTCTGGGGGCGGGAGAGGCCAAGGCCAAGGGGTCCACATCTGGCCTCTGTGCTATAGCGTCCCACAGTGGACGGTGAGAGGGGGGACAAGCTCGCTCTCAAAGCACACCCACTGTGGCGATAATGAACCCACTCCCCTCTGTGAGAGCTATCAAAGTTCTGCCCCTCCATTCTGTGACATTGGAGATTGAAGTTTCCCACACCTGAACTTGGCATTCAAACCGAAGCAAGGCTCCTCTAGGTCGGACTTCCTTGTGATGCTTTCTACCACAGCAATGCTCTGTGCTCTCCTCACTCTCCTCGCTAAATGTGCTAGTCTGTGGGACTCCTGGGATCTTAAAAGGCTCTTGCATCTGGCATTTGGGGAGGGTATGACAACCAGCAGTTTCTTGTGACATCCCGTGACTCATCCAGCCAGAGTGCCACGCAGCCTCTTTGTGGTTTGCCTTGTCCTGTTTCTGCAAGGGAGTTGGTGTGAGAGAGGTGAAGGTTGTTAGAAATGTGAAGGTTGTTAGAAATGTCAGGTTCTCGTGTCTCTGAATCAGGCGATTGTCCTGGAGACCACGGTCCACACGGCTGGCAGGAAACCCTGGCTAGTCACCTGCGTAACGTTGTGGGGGTGTCTCTGGGCTTCTGGGAGCAAAGAGTTCAGAGCCTGCAGTCCTCAGTCCACGGTAACTGCCCAGGCAGTTGCCGTCCTCGTGTGTGGGCCTCTCCCGGACCGGTGTACAGACCCTGCTCTCTCTGAGCTCAGCTGGGGGCCAGCAGCCTGCCACCCACCAGGTCCAGACTCCTGGCAGCCTCCCCTTGCCTCCCCCCTGGAGAGCCCTCACAGTAGCAGGTGCCGCCCTCAGGAACTCCCAGCACTAAGGCCCGCGCATCTGCCCGTGTCAGGAAGGGCCATCCGTCCCTCTTCCCTGCTGGTTCACTCCCCAAATAGCTGCAACGGCTGGGGCTGGTCCTGGCTGAAGCCAGGGATCAGAAACCCCATCTAGGTCTCTCATGTGGTTGGCGGGGACCCAAGTTCCTGGGCCATCATCCGCTGCTTTCCAAGGCACATTAGCAGGGAGCTGGATCAGAAGCAGAGCAGCCGAGATGCAAACCAGCACCCGTGTGGGATGCCGGCTTTCAGATGCCCTCTGTCCACTCCATGTTCCGTCTGGAGCATCGGGAAGAGTGTCTCTGACAAGGCTGAGGGTCCAGCAGTGCTCTCGTTCTAGATGTCGTCCTCCCAGGGCCCTCACGGCACTCCCCGCCGCCCAGAAGTTACTTAGTGTGGTCACTGCACGTGGCATCCTTCACGTGGCCACAGGCACTGAGCTCATTCTCGCCTCTGGGAACCGAGGACCAGGCCCAGTGCGTCAGCTCGGCAGGCAGGGAAGAGGTGTGCCTGGCGTTTAGAGCTGGACCAGGCCCGCCAACTGGTGGCTCAGTGTCTCCCGCGAAAGCCTGAGATTATCTGATTCCAACTGCCTCTTCAGAAGCTGCCCTGCAACCTCATCTCCACAGCATTTCCACTCACCTCGCGTGCATCGATGACCTCTAAAATACAGAAAAACGGGTCCTTCCCTTTAGAAAGGGCATTTACAGTCTTTAGCGTCCTGGGCCGTCTGAGATCCCTGATTTGTGGGAGCCCAGTTCAAAAGGCAGGGTCTGGTGAAGCTCCTTCTAACTTGGTGTCGTCTTCTGGTGCTGTGGGATTCTGGGATTCCACAGCGGGTGGGGTGGGGGTGGGGGGTGTCACTTCCATCCTCAGCCACAGAGGGCCTGGGCTGTGCGGCTGGTGGAGAGAGTTGACCCGTGCACAGGGAGGACTGTGGGCCCCCAACCTGTGCGTGCTCACCCCAGAAGGGTGTTCTGTGGACACCAACCTTGCTCCTCCCGGTGCGCAGTTGGCGTCGGGAGCCCAGCACGTCGTCTGCTTCCTAACAGGCGTCTCCTTTCTGTCCCCCTCGTGCCTGCAGCTGCCCGTTCCTGGCGGTCAACATCACCCCCGCCATCCCCGCGGTCGGTGGCGTCCTGTTCTTCTTTGTGATGGGGACCCTGCTACGCACCAGCTTCAGTGACCCCGGAGTCCTCCCGCGAGCCACACCCGACGAGGCCGCCGACCTGGAACGGCAAATAGGTAACACCTCGGGCCTGCCCGCGCGGACAGTGACCGGGAAGGAGGAGCCCCCAGCAGGGTGACCTGGATAGGAAGGCAGTGGGGTGCGAGGGTCGAGGTAAGGCTGGAAGGCGGGGGTGCGAGGGGGGCTGCCCGCCCATGCCAGAGGGCACGCCACGGGGCAGGGTTTCCAGATGCTTCTTTGAAACACACACGTCCAGTTCTGCTCACGTAAGGAACCTCCCTGGAGACAGCTCTGTTCTCTAGTTCCCTTCCAGCCGCTGGCACTTATCTGGTTTCCTGCAAAAGCCCAGGTCAGGCTGCGTCTCAGACCCTGGCTCGTGGGGCAACCTCCTTGCTTCAGGCAGAACCGCTGGGCGTGACTGTGACACACTGAGGTGGAGGGCCGTGCCCCTGTGCTGTGAAGGCCCCAGGCATTCTGAAGATGCGAAAACACAGCCCAATCCCTTGGACCCCAAGCTTTAAAGTCGTTTGTCATTACCATTATTGAAAAGACAGCTCTCTCGTGCCCTCAAATGCTCGGAAAAAGCCTGCCTTTGGTAACCTGGGGCTTGGTTTGGCAGGAAAGGCTGAGGGGCTGTGGTGACTCAGCTGGCCTGAAAAAGCCCTTAGCCAAAACGCATTCCTCTCTCTGTTCACCCTGGTCTCCTCAGGCCTCGCTGTGCAACCCCGCGACAGCAGACACAGATGCGGCTCTCGCTGGAGGCCACTCTGCTCCTAGCACCCCCCAAGTGCTGAAGCTAAGCTGTGTCCTTTGTCAGTGTCGGCCTTCGTCCTGCACCTGCCACCTGGGAGGGGAGCAGGAAGGAGTGGGTAGAGGGAGTGCCTAGTGGTGTCTACCATTCCGCAGCCTTCTTGTGATGTGAGGTAGTAAGGAAGGACCAAGGAAGAAGCCGTGATGGGGAAGTCAGTCCCTTCCATGGCCGCCGTGGCCGGGGGTTCCAAGGCAGACAAGCTAATTCCACGTTTGCAGCCTGCCATTTGATAGCGCTTCAGCATCTCAGAAAGCTCGTCCATGGCTTTCATGGCCAAGTGACTTTCACGGCCAACCGACTTCGTGAGGAATACTGTATTATTATGCCCTCTTTGCAAATAAGGAAACTAAGTTCAAAGAGGGGCTTCAATGGTAAGAAGTGAAGAGCTGGGACCCAGATCCCACGGCTCCAGGCCTCAGCCCAAGGTCTTTCCAGTGTCACTGGGGATGGAGGGGGAGCTCAGGCCTAGTTTCCTTCGAGGAACAGAACTGGACGTGGAGCGGCTGCATGGCCTCAGGGTCGAGCCCAGCCCCCACCTGGGGGAGCCATGGTTCCTGCTAAAGCCAACCCCAGACCCCACCCGTCAGCGGGAGTGTGGGCAAAGTCCGCACGACCCGGGCAGCCTTTTGCCACTAGGCCACAGCACCGGCATCTCAAATTCAGTATTTTGACGCTGGCCGTGTCCCACAGCCCCAGAGGCACAGGCCGTGAGGACCAAAGGCTGACGCTCCACTGGGGAAGAGCAGGGCTGCCCAGGCTTCCGTGAGGCAGGGAGGAAGATCCTGTGACTTCCGCCGCCGGGAGCTGCGGGTATGCGCCCACACCTGTCGGAAACAATGCCTCCCAGCTCCGGCGTTCGGCCCGGAGGAGCGGTTATTCCCGGCCAGCGGTGGTGAGCCAGGTGGCAGTGTGGGAGTCTGTGGCGTCCTAGCCTGGTCTGCTCCGTCTCGCCCGAATTCTGAAGGTGAGGTCCTGCCGGCACAGGGCAAGCCAGGAGAGCCCACCGTTGCCTCGCCGAGGCGGCTGCTGGAACCCGCGCGGGGCACAGAGACAAGCCCAGGAGCTGGGGCTTCCTTACGAATCTCAAGGATGAAGCACAGCGAAACTCAGAGCAAGCGGCAGCCAGGAAACAATAAAGTTACGAGAGGAAATCAATGGTAGAGAATACAATGAACAATAGAAAAAATCAGTGGGACTTGGGGGCGGGGGGAGAGAATGAGAGAGGGAGGGAGGAACCAAAGCCATACGTGAGTGGCCAGCAGGCAGGCATCCTCAGTCACTAGAGAACCATTCAGCCCCGCCAGGATGACTCCAGTGGGAAGGACCTTCTGGTGGGCGTGGTGCAGCCGCCCTGGCAAACAGTTCTCCAGAACTCCTGACTGTTAAAGACAGGAGGGATCTTCCAACAGGTCGTGGGAAATGTATATGATGAAGAAACTGTGCATGGATTTCACTGGATTTTTGCACTGGAATGAACGTACCTTTTAATGCCGGTGTTCATGAGCCCCTGAAGTCCCTTGTGGCTTCAGTTCCGCGTGACACAGCGATTCCTCTCCTCCGTGTATGTCCGAGAGAAATGCACACATGTGTCAGTGGTCCTGTGCATGACTATGCAGGGCGCGCTAAGCCTGGAAGCCACCAGGCACCCACCAAAGGAGGAAGGTGGCCCGTGGGTGCTGTGGCCACAGCAGGCACACAGGCACCTGCCTCACCGTGGGTGAAACTTAACAGCGTGCTGAGCGGGAGAAGCCAGAGGCAAAAGCCTGTGTGACCGCATCTATATGAACTGTCCAGGGAGGACGGATCTGTAGAGACAGAAGCGGATCAGTGGTTGCCTGGGGGGAGGAGTCCAGGCTGACTGCCCAGGATGTTGAATTTGTTGGAGCGATGGACATGGTCTAAAATTAGATCATGGTGATGGTTGCACAATGCGACCAGTTCACTAAAAGTCATTGAATTTTATGTTTATAATGAGTGCCTGATATGCTGTGTGAATTATACTCACGTATAAATACTTAATTTCTTTTTTTTAAGATTTATTTATTTATTTGAAAAGCAGGGTTACAGAGAGGCAGAGGCAGAGAGAGAGGGGAGGGAGGTTTTCCATCCACTGGTTCACTCCCCAAATGGCTGCAATGGCTGGAGCTGCACCAATCTGAAGCCAGGAGCCAGGAGCTTCTTCCAGGTCTGGGTGCAAGGGCCCAAGGACTTAAGCCATCTCCAACTGCTTTCTCAGGCCATAGCAGAGAGCTGGATCAGAAGTGCAGCAGCTGGGACTCGAACCGGTGCACATATGGGATGCTAGTACTGGAGGCGGCGGCTTTACCTACTATGCCAAAGCACCAGCTCCCTACAGGTTTTCTTATAGAGCTATTATTTCTACTAAGATAAATTTTCTTGGTAGCTTAATTTTTTATCACATGAAATGTTTTGCTTTGGAGGTTTTATAAGCCATTGTAGCTTCATTTTATATTGGTTATTTCTGTTGGTAATGTTTACCATAAAATAGCTTTACATTTACATTTAAATGGTTCTCTTTTTTTTGGGTCCCTATTAAATAGTCTGCTGGCTACTCACTGGCTGTGGTCAATCTGTGTTAAATCTCCCATACTCTGCAGTCACTCTGTACTGTCCCTACTTTTGGAATTCTATGTGCACGTACATGTGCTCACACCCTCCCCACACAGACACAAAACGGGCAGGGTCAAAATGGCAAGCCCCTAGCTAGCTACGGTGACCACTTGAAGGTGCCTTCCCCTGAATCCTGTCACTTCCCAAATCACCACATTTGCCCTGGTGTCCCTGTTCCTGTGGTGCTCACGCGAGCATTTCAGCACTCACATGGGCCCAGAGCCCCGTCTTCATCAGAAATACCAAGAGGAGCCTCCGGAGGAGGGAAGAGCTGTCTGGCTCACGGTCTGGGGAGCCGTCGTTCAGGTCCGGGCGGCCCCCTGAGCCTAGCGACTGGTGGAGGCTGGCTGTTGGCTGAGAGTGCAGAGGCGTGATCTGGAGGTGAGCCAGAGCCAGGCCCAGCAGTGCCCCCAGGGGCACAGAGACCTCCCAGCAGGCTCAGCTCCCAGCAGCCCTGATTACTCATGTCTCTATCCTTCATCCATCAGCTCTTAGCCTAAGACTTCAGAGCTTCAGATTCTGCCTGAGACTGAGGAGCCAGATCTCGCTGCACCGATGACAGGCTCAGTTCAGAACTGAGTTACACCTGCTCAGAGATCCCTTTCTGCCTTGCCCATCGTCTCTCCCCTGCTCTTGCCGGAGCTGTAACGAAGCCCCCTAATTCGCTCTCGGCCCGTCTCTCCCCTGCACCAGTGGCAGCATTGACCCGGGCACAGGGAGTAGCATACCCGCTGTGCTTCTCCTGTGGCTTACTGGGCCACGAGGAGCAGGCAGGGGCCTGGTAGCAGCTGTTTGCATCCAGGGCTTTCCTTGCACAGGCAGCGTGCTCTCTCCATGTTTATCTCGTTTAATAATCCGTGATGTTTAGGCATTACTGATGTTCCTATTTCATGCTCGAGGAAGCCAGTCTCAGAACAGTGATCTGCCATAATGGGCCACTGGCCAGCACTGGGAGTCCAGGGCAGGTCATCTGAGCTCATCCCTGGGCTCCAGCCACTGTGCAGTACTGCACCCACCCCGACCTGATGCCGGGGGGAGCCGGGCCCTGAGCACAGCGTCTCTGGGCCCTATTCCCAGCACTTCTCCTTACTCTGTGAGTCTGAAAAATGCACTGAGGTTTCTGGGCCTGAGTTTCAGGGTCTGCAACGCAGACAAACCGCAGGCATGTGTGATTCTGTGGTTCCTGCACTTGACTGTGAACATGAGGAACCCTGATGCTTCAGACTATTTAGCTGGTCCAGCTGCTTCCACGGAAGGAATGACGTGTTCTGTCCAGTTTAGAATAGAGCCGCACGCACAGCCATGGCTATTCAACAAGTAAACTGTGGGCACTGCAGAACAAGCGAGAGCTAGAGATGACTCACTGGACACCACTGTCGTTAGTACCGTCACCGGGGTGTTCGCGAGGATGAAGCAAGATGGGGAGACGCGCGAGAGAACGAGTCGGTCAGCCAGCAAGGTCGTAGAGGGAAGCCAGAGACCGGGCACTCCTCCCAGAGCCCATGCAGCGCGGAACAGGCCCTGGACCAGCTGGGCATGAGGCAGAGAGGAGGCGAAACTTCTCCTTGCAGGCGGCTCGTCAGGAGTGGGCGGGCTCTTTGTGCTGTGTGAGTG